CGGTGGGAGGAGTTACTTTGTGAGCTGAAGCACTCGCTCCTCAAAACAACGGCCGATGGAAAACTATATTTTGTGTTTGCCTGCCAGTCACCGTGGTGGCGCAACGTCGGGCGTTGCCATCCCCACGTCGCTGCAGATGTGGCGCTTTCTAAACTGAAATTTAAGGACTGCCGCATGTTCGCGGCGTGTTCACCGAAATTCCTGTGCATTTTTAAATCTTACGCTACTACGAAAATCCCTCTTTAACTCAGTTTGCTCTGTCGAAGTAATGATTATTTAGGTTTCTCTTGGTAGGTTTTTTTTTCGAGAGGGACCCTGATACGTAAAAAATCTCCCACGGAAGAGAGTGGGTGGAGAGAAGTGATCTAAAGCAAAGAAGGCAATGTATGCACGCTGAACTCGCAGAGCGTGCCTGTTTGTCTCGAGTTCAGTCGTTGCACAAAGCGCTCCAAAAGCTTTTTGACCCTTACTCGCGATGTCTTGCATCGATGCGCTCAGGTTCTCTTTTTTTGTGTGCGTTTAGTACGTACCTTGTTTGCCTGCCCATCAAGCACGTGCCGCTGGACGTTTTTGTTGTATCCTGGACAGTTGCATTTTGCATACAGTTTTGGGAACCAGTTGGCACTGAAGCGGAGTAGCGTGGTTTCGGTCGAACAGCTATCTCCGCTCACGCGACGAAGCACGTGCAACTGCAAGCTTGCCGAAGTTGCCCTCAGGTGCATGCGAATATGATTGTACGAAAGAGGCACCTGCTGGGACGCTTGCAATTCATTGTTTTACGTTTGCTTACTTTTGACGAAAATCTGGCACGTCGGGAACTAGTGAAACGGCGGCAAGCGGTTTTTCGGAATCGCTCGGCAACGCCTACAGCATTGTACACTTATGGGATGTCTCAATGTCTCTTTGGAGACATTGAAAGTTGACATTCATTTCTAGCCGAAGGCAAAGCGAGGCTTGGAGCAGCCTTTCAGAAAGTTTCAAAAAGCGGAAAGAAAAGCACGCGCTAAGACTCGTAATGAACCTTTGTCTTGTGTACAATTTCGCATTGCTCTGCAGTAGTTACGCGTTTCATCAGTCGGAGACTGCTTCCTTTCATTATATTATATAACTAGTCAACCTACTGCTGTGATATTTACTAGTAAGCTGATCATTTTCAAATAAATTTTATTATGTGCAGTTTGGTTCTTATTTATCTTCAGCAGTTACATATGTGTGTATAATTTACCTGAAGCACTGCAAAATGTGTCATGTCATTGGCATTTCAGTTACACGTTGAAAGACGCCCAGGTGGTCTAGCTTGACCATAGTTTGCTTATTGCGGCGATCAAAGTGCCCTTCGTTTGTCCAGCACTTAAAACAAATATTTTTATTTTTCTAAGAATACCTGCTCCAAAAGTCACTTCTGCTGCTCCGAAACACTGTTTTGCCTGCTCCAAAAGCCACTTTTGCTGCTCCAAAACACTGTCTTGGCTGCTGCAAAGGCCACTTTTGCTGCTCCAAAACACTGTTTTGGCTGCTCCGAAAGGTGCTCCAAAACGGGTTAGGCCAATCGCATCACCGCAGTTGTGAAACCTTCAAGGTAATAGTGAAAAAAAGATAATATGTAAGGCCTGTTTACACATACAACCACAGCTCTACATTAGGGCTATTAGTCAAGACCTGGGAATACAGTGTAGACCGCATATAACGTAAAACGCGGGAGTCGCGAAAATCTGCACTATAAGCGGTACCGCGTTATAACGAAAACATCAATTTTTCAGGCCAAAATACATGCCATGAGACAACTTACCTTTAAAAAAAAAATTTATTTTATGTTAGTCGAAGAGGAGTCTTTATTTCACCAGACTAGTACACTTCTCTTTTAAGTGTGTCAATTTTGAAAGAAATGAGCGACTTTTGCCTGGCGCAGCCTTTTAACGGCGTCGCTGTTTGCTGACGGACGTTGCAAGCGTTAGGATTGCTAACCCTAATCACTTTTCTCCGGTGATGAAGACGCGTGAAAATTCGCATCCTTTATACGGTACACGCCAGTAATACCTTCAACTTTAGCACAGGCGTGAAACGCTCCAGATAAGAAATCCGGGCGATGTTCGAAAACACAAATGCTTAGAAAGCACCACTGTAGTCGAAGTAAACAAACACGACGACACGGGCGTTTCTGCCGTCTTGAGAGTGCCGCCACGGCATCGCCGCACGAGTAGGTGGATCTCCCCTTCTAGCACGTGCTGGGTTATCATAGCGGCACACAACGAAAGTTCACAGTCAAGGATAGTGCTTTTACGTGGAACGATCGCAACCGACGCCATGTTTGCGGATAGAAGCCGGCCCGTGACTGACATGCAACGCGCTCTAACAGTTCTCCCCAACCTGCAATTGGTCTGTCGTTGCGGTTGTTTCCAACGCACGCACGTGACCGACACGTGCGTGCGTCCCTTCGTCGGTATGGCAACTGAAGCCTCTCTCTTCGCTTCTTGGAGCCACGACTTCGAGCAACCTCTTTGCCCCGCGAGTGCCGCTTGCGGCTAGCCAGGCTAGCGCCATTATCTAGTGTCGCACAGGGAAGCGTGCTGGCTGCGCTGGGCAATCGGCGCGCTGTTCCAGAAACCGCACTATAACCAGTATTTCCCTTCGCGCCTGCATTTTAAGTGGTATGTAATTATATGGAGTTCTATGGGAGGCGAACCGGTGGTTTAAAAAAGCCGCATTATACCCGGTCCTGCACTATAAGCGGTTACGTTATAAGTGGTCTATACTGTAATGCTGATCTTGTTTATGCAGTTCTGACATTGTGCTTTGTGTCCTACACCAGTGATACAGTGGTGAATTAGTGCTAAATTAGGTTCATCAGCTCTGTGCTGTACATGTGTACCAGCCTCTAAAAAAAATTTTTTTGTTCATGTTAAATTTGTTTTTTACCTGCGTGTCCCTCCTACATTTTCTTTTTTGAAGGTTTTTTTTTAAGTTAAAAGGACACTGACAGCCCCCCAAATTTTTTTTTATTTTTTGCCAGGCGCTTCATTATGGTGTCGGAGGACTACCCAATTAATATTTTGCAACAGAGTAGCGTATTTGTTTAATAAAGCCAAAAGACGCAACTGCTCCAAATCGAAACCGAAACCCGACGGAGGTCGGAGAAGTGGAGAGGAGAGAGTGAGTGGCGGAAGTCACGTGGCTACACCCGACCGTGCGTTTTTTTTTTTCTCCTCTCCATAGCAGACGACACGACATGCGGTGTGCGATGCGGCGTGCGGGAACTGCTCGCCGTGCGATTCTTTTGCAGTTATGTTTGTTCCGCTCGTTGTTCTGTACTCCAAGATGAGTTGTTTTGTACATTGAGGAGTTGGAGGATGAGTAGTAAGTGCCCGTGGTGAATTTCCATGATCGGCTCCGAAAAGAATACACCCAAGATGTTGCGTGAAGAGCTGGCTCACATGTCCTGCATCCGAAAAAAAGTGGCATTGTGCGACAGAGTTTCCGAAAGATCAACGGGATCGGGACCAATGGCTGGCTGCAATTCCTGTAGAACATATACGGGCACCTCGGAAAGCGGACGCTACCTGATTTATATGCTCCTCGTATTTTGTGGAAAGTGATTACATTGAGTTCGCAGGTGTCAAAATGGAAATCCCATACCATTTAATTCAGCGAAGTATCGTCCACAACTTTTGTTTGTTATTTTTTTGTTTGTTTCTTCAGTGATGATTGTAAAAAAAAAGAAAAAGATATGTAAACATCGGAAAATGTAAAAAAAAAAAAAAAAAATAGAGTTACACGAGGGATCGATCCCAGACCTAACGCGTGTGAACCGGACGTCTTTCCCACTGAGCTACTGGCACATCTCATTTCTGGTGGATCTCTTTCCTTAGTAATAATTCAGCCGGTAAACTGTAAGTTGGAAAGTTTGCTATCGATTTTTCTCTAGCAAAAGCACTCCCGGGTCGAAGTGGGGGAGCACCACGCTTTGGGGACATTCGCACGTAGTAAAGAAATCGTACGCGTGCATATTCATCTCGAAGTAGACACGTCGTGCTTGACGTTTGCGCGAGCGATGTCTTCAGCCACGAGAAGGAAGCGACGGCTCGGCGACGTCTTCATGCAAATCTGCTTGGTGGCCGGGCGTGTCATACGGGATGAATACCAATTCTTTTGATCAGTCCCAAATTTCTCTTTTAACGGTAGACAGAATTCGCCGGTACCGCGAACGACAGTTCTGAAATAGAGGTCCCATGCCCGTCGTCCGCTGCCATCGCCATCCCCGCGAGTCCCACGATACGCGAAACGACGAACGCACAGAATGCTTCCGGTTGTCTGTGGAACTTTTTTTATCAATCAACGTATTTACAGCTTTTTAGAAGCCACAAAAAATGGGTTTCATATTTTTTTCTATTTTTAATATTGAGTGTGTGCCTTCAGTGACCCACGACTTTGATTAAATTTGGTGTTCGCATCGATACCTTAGAAAACCCCCCTTGACCGCGGAAAGGAGAGTGAGCGAGACTCGAACCGGCCAGTTCTTGATCGGCGGTTTTCGGGCGGAAAGAAACCGAATTTCGAGCCGCAAATTCTGTTCTGGGTAGTTGAGCTCTCATATGTCACGTACAACTAAAAACCTTGGCGAGCATAAATACCCTGTCAGTGTCCCTTTAAAAAATAAAAAAGTGTGCAAGGAAAGGCGGTCACTCTTTGCAGAGAAGCACTGGTATATGCGTGGTAAGACGCGATTACACGACTGGGGCTTCTACTTTTTTGTGGCTTGTACGTTTTGAGTTTCCTTTGCCCAAAGAATGTTTTCCACTCTTTTCGTGCCAGACAAGAACACACTTTCCCAAGGCAATTGATGCCCCTACATTCTTTATTTTTTGTAGGGACAGCAGGTTTGGTGACGCAGAACACTAAACCGATCTCTGATAAGACTCGGGTCTTAGTGTAAAGAAATATTTTCTCCCAAATTGGCACTCCATTCTGAGAGAGTAATTTTTTTCCTGCCAAACTGTGGTATCTGGAGTAACAGGCCGATGGGGTTCTTCGCTGGCACATCTTTATTGCAGGACTACCGGAGTACGACACATAGTCACGGGCGTGAGAGAGCGGCAGGATAGCAGCGGGTGGTGCAAACGGTGCGCTGGCTCAGATAGATATGGCGCCCAGGAACAGTGGCGCGAGACGCACGAGCGCGCGCTAGCTGTTGCCCGCTTATTGTGTCACCCATACAACACTCCCCCACACTTAGTTCAGCACAGTAATACCATTCGACGGCGTTCCAGTGCAATACTCACAAAGTAACACGATATGACAATTTAACAAAACACGAGAATAATTGAAGTTCTGGAAAGTACAAAGTACAGACATACTAAATACAAAATAATTACAGTTCTGAAAAACACAAAGTCCTCGTCTTTTTCTCTTCCTTCTCAAGGCGAAAACCTATTAGGCGCACGCCGTTGCCGTTCGGGATACCGGCGCTGAATTTCTTGCGGCTGGGCTGGGGAACGACCGGAGACTGATCCCATGTCTTGTCCCTCTACCACCGGTGACCCAACTGGAGGCAGCTCGTTCACGAGTCCCCCTTGCCCTGGGGTTGGCGATGATGGCAGGACACTCGGTATCAGCAAACCACCTTCCTCCTCCTCTGGGGTAGAGCTCTCCCGCAACCGCAGGTGGTCTTGGTGTCGCCGCCACACGAAGGTCCCCCGCGGTGTGGTCACGCGAAGCCTGTAGGAGACCGGTCCGGATCTAGCCGTGACGACTCCGTGCAACCACCTCTCACCCGGCCGGAAGTTCTTGGCGTACACCTTATCACCCGGCACGAAGTGTCGGTGTTTGCCACTGTGCTTCACCTGTAGCACGTCCTGCTTGCGGTGAACAGTTTCCTCTGCAGAGGGTCGCAGTCTGTCGAGACGGGTAGTGAGCCGCCGCCCAAGCAGCAACTCCGCAGGACTCTGAAGGGTTGTGGCGTGCGGTGTGTTTCTGTAAGCTAACAAGAAACTTGCTAGTCGACGGGACAGAGGCCGGCCCGGCATCTCTTTTCGTAAGGCCTCCTTCAGGGTGCGGATGAAACGCTCAGCCAGCCCATTACTTGATGGATGGTAGGGGGCGGTCCTGACGTGCCTCACACCGTTCTCTCGCAAGAAAATCTGAAATTCTTGGGAACAAAATTGGGGGCCATTGTCACTGACAACAACATCTGGCAGACCGAAATGACTAAACAGCTCCCTCAGCTTTTCAATAGTTGCTTCGGCCGATGTGCTGTTCATCACAAAAACCTCGGGCCACTTGGAGTGGGAGTCGACGCTCACCAGAAAATGACGGCCCTGGAAAGGTCCCGCAAAATCCAAGTGCAGCCTTTGCCACGGACGAGTTGGCCAGGACCACGGATGCAGCGGGGCTGGACCTGGAAGACTCTGCTGCTGTTGGCAGGTATCACACGACCTGACGCGATATTCAATATCCGCATCGACCTCCGGCCACCATACATAGCTGCGTGCCAGTTCTTTCATCCTTACGATTCCAGGATGCCCTTCATGCAGCTCGTCCAGTACGCGTTCGCGCAGTCCCTTCGGGATCACAACCCTCATTCCCCACAAAAGGCAATTCTGGTGCCACGTCAGCTCGCTTCTTCTTGCAGAGTAACGCTTCAGACAATCTTCTACTTTTGCGGGCCACGCACCGGCAAGGAACCTTGCCACTTGACAGAGCTCTTTATCTTTCGCTGTAAATTGTGCGATCTCTTGGCTGCTTACCGGAAAAGACTGCAGGCGGAGACTGAGAAACGCCGCGACGTCATCCTCGTAGTCTTCATCCTGAACCCCAGGAACTGGAAGTCGTGACAAGCAGTCCGCCTCCACGTTGAGTCGACCCGGTCGGTAAACCAATCGGTACTGATAGGCGGAAAGGGTAATAGCCCATCTCTGCAGACGTGCGGCAGCAATGCTCGGAATTCCCGTCTTTGGACCAAGAATGGTTTGCAACGGTTCGTGATCAGTGACCAACACGAAGGATCGTCCAAACAAGTAGATGTGAAATTTCTTCACGCCAAACACAATAGCCAGTACCTCCTTTTCTAGTTGGCTGTAGTTCTTTTCACTCGATGTCAAGGTTCTCGACGCAAACGCGATAGGCCGTGTGTCGCCGTTGGAGTACACCCTGGACAGGACGGCTCCGAGACCGTATGCTGAGGCATCACATGACACCTGAAGGTCTGCCTTGGGGTCGTAGTGTGCCAGGACAGGTGCGTCAACCAGAAGCCTCTTCACCATGTTAAAAGCGTCTTGACAGCGCTTGCTCCAGGTCCAGACGACATCTTTTCTTAGTATCTCGTTCAGCGGTGCTATTGTGGTCGAGAGGTCTGGGAGGAACTTTCCGTAGAATGTCACCATTCCCAAAAACGACCGTAACTGTTTTGAGTCTTGCGGTTGAGGTGCATCGAGGATCGCTTGCACATTTTCTGCCAACACAGCTACCCCTTGCTCGCCGACTTGGTGCCCCAGGAACTTCAAACTTGCCTTCAAGAACTCACACTTTTCTTTCTTGACTCGGACGCCCTTGTCACTCAGTTTCTTTAGGACTTGCTCCAAATTCTTCAGGTGATCCCCGGCGGTCTTCCCTGTTACCAGGATATCGTCGAGATAGCAGGTTACTCCTTGAATTCCCGCCAGCAAACTGTCCATTATCTTTTGAAACAGTGCTGGAGCTGAAGCGATCCCAAACGCCAAACGCTTGACGCGGAAGAGACCATTGTGCGTGTTGATTGTCAGATAGGGTTGTGACTCAGGGTGGACCGGAACTTGCTGGTATGCACGACTTAAGTCTATTTTCGAGAAAACAGTCGCCCCAGCTACCGTTGCTAGAATATCTTCCAACCTTGGCAACGGGTACTGCTCCACGTCCAGGCAAGGGTTTACCGTTGTTTTGTAGTCCCCGCAAAGGCGTACAGACCCATCTTTCTTCAAAACCGGGACAACTGGTGTAGCGTAGTCACTATGGGCCACCGCTTCAATGACACCTGTCACCTCCAGTCTCTTTAGCTCTTCTTCTACAGCTGGCTTCAGGGCGAACGGCATACTTCTAGCTTTCAGAAACTTTGGACTCGCACCTTCCCTTAAGCTTAGCCGAGCCTCTTCCCCTCGCATGCATCCGAGCTCGTCCTTGAACACATCCTGGTAGCGTATTAGGATGTCTTGGAGAGACGCTTTTACATCAACGCTGACCGCGTTTAGCGATCCCAAGTCAAACTTGAGCTTGTAGACCCAGTCTCTGCCAATCAAAGGTGGCCCATCTTCTCCCAGTACGTGAAGCGGAAGTTTTCCTTTGAAGTCTCGGTACTCTACGTCCACCGTCGCCACTCCTTTTGGCTTGACACGCTCGCCGGTGTACGTGCGCAGTATTAGTGACGCCGGAGACAGCTCTGTGCGAGGAAACAACGATTGGAACTGGCGTTTCGAAATGATAGACACGGCAGCACCGGTGTCTAGTTCCATCTGAAGAGGAGCGTTCCCGACCTTGAGCGTGTAGTAGAACGGCGCATTCATGTTTCTGTCTTGAAGCCCGTATATCGCTTCACTCTTTTCTTCCTCAGCGGAGAAGTTTCTGAACTGTTTTGCTCTGCCTGGTGTATTGGCCAGTGATGCTTTACAGAAACGTTGGAAGTGACCCTCACGGTTGCAGCGATAACAAATAGCGTTACGGTGCGGGCATGACGAGGCAATGTGCTTAGGGGACCCACAACGGAAACATTTGTCCTGAGCCTCCACTACCGCTTTCGGTTTCACCGCCGTCAGTTTCTGCAGTTCGAGTTGGTCGTTGTCCGCCTTATTATGACACGCCTGCACATTCATGGTGGCTCTTTCAATAGTTAACGCTTTTTCCACAGCTTTCTTGAATGTCAGGCTCTCATCTTCGGCAAACAAAACTCTCTGAATGTCAACACGACTCAGACCGCTGACGAATCTGTCTCTGAGGGTTTCTTCCAGGTTACTTCCAAAATTGCACGTCTGTGTCATTCTTTTGAGCTCGGCGACATATTTTCCGACCGATTCCCCTTCCTGTTGTTCTCTCTTATGGAACGTTGCCCTTTCTGCGATGACCGACGGCCTCGGCGACAAGTGGTTTCGCAAAACGGCCAGCACATCTTCAAAACTCTTCAATGCCGGGTCCTCAGGCGCTACTAGAGTCTTGAGCAACTTATACGTGTCAGCTCCTATGAGGCTTATGACCACGTCAACTCGGTTTGCGTCCGCTACCCCGTTCGCTCTCAAAAAGGCTCGCAACCTTTCCTCGTAGGATAACCAATCACACTTCGTGTCATCAAAAGGTTCGACTTGCCCGAATAAGGCCATCGTGACTGCCTTCCGGTCCTCTGGTCCTTGATTCAAGATGCCAGATACTGGAACATCAGTTGAAAGGCCCTCAGTTGCTGAGTCGTCCGACGGTCTCTGCATCCCGTTGTAGCAGCGAAATCCGTGTCCTCGTCGCCACTGTGTGGTATCTGGAGTAACAGGCCGATGGGGTTCTTCGCTGGCACATCTTTATTGCAGGACTACCGGAGTACGACACATAGTCACGGGCGTGAGAGAGCGGCAGGATAGCAGCGGGTGGTGCAAACGGTGCGCTGGCTCAGATAGATATGGCGCCCAGGAACAGTGGCGCGAGACGCACGAGCGCGCGCTAGCTGTTGCCCGCTTATTGTGTCACCCATACAACACAAACATTCCATAATGCACTTTGTAGAATCACTCACTTATTCCCTTCGCTCTGTGATAACACACGCTTGAGAGCCCCCTCGACAAAAATATAGATCCGGACCCACGGATATCCGCGCCTGTAGCCCATGACATCTGCATCCAATTCACAATCCGCCAAATCTAATTTATTTTTATCCGCACCTGCCAGTTCACTGGGCATAACCGTGGGTAGTTCTTGGGCATTTGGCGAATCCGCAGTGCTTTACTCATGAAACTTCAGTACCCCCCCCTCCCCCTTGGAAGTTTAGACCGTATGCAGTGGAACATTCATTATACAACATTTATGGGAACGCGCGAAAGTGTCAAATAATGAACCCGAAGTCGTATTACCCAAAAAGACGATAATTACAGCACTTTGACAAACCTGCGCTAATTTATAGTAAAATGCAGGACGTTGCCTAAACTGGAAATGCATAATCAAGGTTCCACTCGATATGCAGTTTTATGGGCAATTTTATTTTGCCTATTACTGGTGCGATGACTTACACCAGAACATGCACCCATACTGTAAGTGGAAAGTAGCGTTATTATTACACAGCGTACTGTGCTAATTAATATTGGGAGGGGTGAGTGGGGACGTAAATTATTTTTGACTGTGCTACTGTACCTCTTTACAAGATCTAGTGTGCCTTGTGTGGACTTTCAGAAAATGGGTCTATTGATGCAGCAATGCAATTGGAACCGTTCAATATTTTTTGGTGTTATAGGGACTGGATCTGTTTATGTTATGCCTCTGTGGTTGCAGCCTTTAGAAGGGGGTGGATGCAAGCTGAGTGATATAGCCCTCAATATGATAGAGATTCAAGTTTTAGGGCTGTAGGCTGTGGAATAAGCATTGCCAAAAAACCTCAAACGAGGAAAATGACTTTAGTGTTGACAAGGAGGCTGTCATGTTACTAATATGCTGCACAATGATACGTAAGGTGGAGCAAGCTGCATGGCTCGGACAACCTGAAATTGTGCAATGTCTTTAACACTGAGCTCCTGTGATTAATTTCAACCAGACGAGACATATATCCTAGCAGAGCTTGCATTCAAATTTGCCACTTGACAGAGGCACGTGATTGTTTATGTCGTTTGCACGGAAATTGACTGAATATCATATTCAATCTTGGTTCGTACATAACATGCTTAACTGCATGAAGCAAGTGATAGACGTAAGGGACATACTTTAAACCTACTTTAGGTGGACAACATCTCTGTACAGCATCTGCTCTCTTCCCCATGTTACAACTAATGCACAGAGTATATAGAATGTGCACTAAAGCACAGGTTACATTGATATTCTTGACAGGCATTAGATACCCAGAGGTTTGATTTTTTTTTTTTTTTGTGTTCTGCGTGCAGGCAATTAATTGTGTGTGTTTTTTTTTCTAGAAGCCGTGGTCGCAAGGCACCCATGACATTGAAGTCTTCCAAACAAGGCACTATGAAGGCATGGCTTGTAGCGGCACTGGAGCAAGCGACACGGTCCGGGTGAGCCGCAAGTGTAACTGTTACACTGTAAACGGGAAATATAGACATGTGTCCGACAAAGCACAGACTTATAAAACTTTCATGTAGCAATAAGTTTAATTTAACTAAACAGTGCATCAACAGAGCCTGACCCAAGAATGGGGAATTGGGGAACCGGCCAATGTGTAGAGTCTAACAGAAACAAGGAAGGCGATAAAAACAAATGGGGCAACATGTTAAGATAGGACAATAATGTCGTGCCTATTTTTTGTTTTCAATTAAGATTTTATAGGAGCTAGCAAATTATGTTTTTGCAATGGAATAGACCTACTTTTACAAAAAGACCTTCCATGTTTTTGTTAAAAGAAATTGCGTCTGAGGAGGTGGAAATATGATCTTCCCAATTGCGCATAAACATATCTTCGAGCTCCACAGGGTAATAAAACTTCCCGAAACGTAAATATTTTTATGCATGCTCAGAAGTTTTTTTAAATATAG